CGTTTGCAGAGGCTTGCAGAAAAGGGGTGGAGGAAGGCGCACAGGGGAGCGCGGGCGAGCTTTGCCATTTTCTTTCCCTCGGACCGGATTAGCCGCTTCTCATCCAATGGCAATGTCCGGAGCTGCTGATTGGAAACCATCCCCATTTTTATTTTTTTTTTAAATCTGCTCTCTGAGAGCCTCAGCCGCAAATTCCAGTTTGGGGGGGAAAGGGTGGATCCATTGACCTGCGACCACTGAAAGCAATGTGGGCTGAATTTACTTTTGGAAACAAAACGCCACCTGCAAGTCTGGCAGTGCCATTTATATTACTGAATGACAATGCCCAGGGAGTTATATTCAGTGTGGGGTTAACACACTGTACAGTACACCGGCTGTACAGTAGTGCACATTTTTCAGAACCATAACCTTTTTTTTTAAGTGTTGCAAAGTGCTTCATTGTAAATGATTACAATCTGATTTGTCAATGCCTCCCACAGAGATATCACTCTGATCCAGCAAACATTGTAAATAACAGAAGACCTCTGAATTTAAAGGGTAGGGACTTCAGTGCCACAAAGGCTCAATCTGGATATCTAATATGATCAAAAAGGCCACAGATAGGTTGCAGCTAACAAGATTTCATTTAAATTGGAGGAAAAACGTTGAGATGGTAAGATCTGTACAATAGCAGGACAGTCTACCTAAGGTGGTTGTGGGGTTGTGGGCTCTCCATCTCTGGAGGTTTTTCAGAAAAGCCTAGACAGCCACCACTCATGGATGGTTTAATTGATTTTTCTGCACATTGCAGAGGGTTGGACTAGAAATTCCTTGTAGTGGCTTCCAACTCTACAATTCTATGATTCTGTGACTCACATACAGCTGATGCCCCGCACTATAAAATTCCATACTGAAAGCTGAATATCTGTTGTATTAACTATTGTATCTTATTTCAGAGCAGCTGAAGAATGTTTTGCTTTTAGACTCCAGTTTTCTGTTATGAATCACTTTGGAAAAGTAATAATTAGTGATTAACTGCATCCCTCTAAGGTCTAAATCCAAATTTCCTAAAATATTGGTTGAAAATTTACAGATCTCTCTGATGAGGTTAAACAGGATGTAAAGACCTACTTTATTTAACAACGTATCTGTGAATAAACCAGTTAGCCAGATTCACTATATCATTAACACTGGTTTACAATCCATAATGGCTGGGTTCAGATAATACACTCTACCAACAGAAACAGTAGAAACAGTCTACTGTATTTCTCATTTATCTATAAATTGAATCTAGTGCTACCAAGGCTTCTTTCCTTCCTTCCCCATAAACCCTTTCCCAATTATCACCTACCACCACTTATCATCAGTAGACATCTGTTGACATCTTGACCCATTTCCAAGTTAGGAAAAACATGATACTTTCTAAAGTGTTTTTGCTCCGAGCTTGTGTGGAGACCCCATTTCTCTTGCTGGAGAAATCAATTGGCCAGATAAAAGAGCAATAAAAATCTATATCAAGAGTAATTTGTCTGCTGGAGTAGTGGACTCAAATGACCAAATGCAAAAAGGAAGAGAGTTCCTGCACTTGTAATAATGGTAGAGAAATGAAAGCTTCAGGAGGTCTTTCTTGTCATGGGGTGCCCTTCCAACATGACAGTGAAAGGTCTTGTCTTCTGTATTGGCCTTGGGAACTTGCCAAGATTCTCACCTTCGACACGGACCGAGAACTAAGATGATCTCATCTGATCCAGCAAGGTTTCATTAACAAGTAGTTGACTCTTTTAGGCCCAGCAAGCCAAATGCTATTTTTTTCTTCAATCCATTGCCAAGGGGTTTGTTTTATTTCAAACAATTTAGTGTACTGAAATATTCACAAAGCTCTGGCACCCTTACAAACAGACAGGAGCAAGGAGATCCATTTGGGTGAATAACAGTTCATTCTCCTTGGGTGTAAACCATTCCTTTCTAATTAATAGTCGTTACAGGAAAAGAAGCATTAACTTGACTTGAGGGAATGTGTTGCTGCTTCATCAGAGCGTGAGCTAGATACATAAACATAAAGCATTTGCGGATATTTTTTAAATGGTATGTTTGAAATAAAACTAGCTTCCAAAAGTTTCTTTTACGGAACTAACATTATTGAAAGTTTTTTGTTTTGTTTTGTTGTGGCCCTTGAAGGCCTCTCAGCACGTAATTGCTGAAAATTAACAGCACCATTTCCTACCAATTTAGAGCGAAACACATGAACACTGTAGTAAAAACCTTAAAATAAACATATCTGAGGAGGGCAAAATCAAACTCCCAGTTCTGTCCATATGTAGGAAGTGGCTCCACTCTCATTACGGCTTGACTCCCCTACAGGTGGCCCATTTGGTATCTTCCATCCCCAGGAGTAGGGAATGGCTTATATTCATGTACTACCTGTTAAGAAAAAGTCTCGTTTGCACAACCAAGGTTCAACTGGAGAGGACTACATAGACACTAGTCTAACGCTCTTCCAAAGAACATAATGGATGGGCCCATCAAGATAGTTTTAGTGGCTCACATTGCTCTGCAAACTCAGCCAGAGTTTGTTTATGATCCAATGGCAGCATTGTGTTTTACCTGCTTACTAAATTAATTCATTTTCTGGGTTCAGAGGTTAACTAAACTAGACTAACCACGCTGAGAATGTTGCACAAATACATCTGCTAACTCTTCATCTGATGTGGATAAGTGTATTATGTGAACTCCGAGAACTGAATTACTTAAGTAAACCATGGTTCACTTAATATGTTATATGAATATACCCACAGTGTAGTAAGCCGTGCTTTCTTTTAATTATGCTAAGCTGCAGTGCAGTTCAAATCCAAAAGTCATGGATTTATGGCTTGGTCCATATCAGACCATTGAGACCCCTGACTCAGTATTGTCTCCACCATATATGGCTATCTGAAAGTCCTCCAGGTATAGCTGATCTCCCAGCATCCTCAGTTCAACCATTTCTGGAGAACCAGAGATTGCCCAAGGACAAACAGAAGATCAACCAGTATTTACCAATCTGATTAAAATTCTAAATTATGCTATGGAAGTTAAGACAATTTGGCAGTAAGTAATAAAGCTGAGTAATGGTTCAGATTTCAGAATGCAGAAAAGCAGACATAGCATCTACTTCCAACTCTTTCAGGCAGTCACATCTTTTCCTGAGATCATGTGCAGAAGAGAGCTGTGTGGTCCCAGACAAAGATGCAGCTGCTTTAAAGAATTATAGACAGGTGTTGCGTCCATGTTCTTGCTCACTCCAATACACCTGTTGGGAATCAAATACAAAGCATTAGACAGCCCTAATCAGCAAGAATTGACTTAAGAGTCTGATTCTGATACATAAAAGCACTTTCTTGGGGATCAGCATTTTTCAGTTCTATATATGTGTTTGCCTTTTCACCAGATTCCAGCTAGCTTTCCAACAAACCAGCCAAGAAAAGCAAACAAAAGAATAATGACCCTGAAAAGCCAATGCTTTCAAAGCTGAAGTGCCTAAACCTGGTCTACGCTTACTGAAATAGTTTTCCAGAATTCCAGGCATGAATCTTCCCCAGCTCTAAATAGATTGTAAACATTCTTTAGTTAGTATACTTATGAATCATACCCTCTGCTTACCAACCAACTAGAGATGATTTTAAATAAAATTGCAATACAAGCAAAATAAAACTAGTGTATCATCAACAAGAATAAACAAAAGACCAAAAACAAGTGATGGCAAAAGGGATAGCCTGACTCTATAGGTAAGCTAGGATACCCCATTCAGTAAGGTGCTACATTTTGAGAAAAAACAAATTAAAACATGCCTTAAGAAGGTCACCTCGAACAGTGTTTCTCAACCTTGGCAATTTTCAGATGTGTGGACTTCAACTCCCAGAATTCAGGCTGGGTAGGGAATTCTGGGAGTCGAAGTCCACACATCTGAAAGTTGCCAAGGTTGAGAAACACTGACCTAGAGCAACAGTTCCTAGCTGCTAATCTAGGGCCATTGTTGGATAACAGAGAATATAGAGAGGGAAGTTAGTGTCAGAGATCAACTCAAGATGGCATCATTAAAGGTTGGATAGTACAGAACATCTTTAGTTCTCTGCGAATGTACTCAAGAGAAGGGCAATTTAACATGCTTTAGGGTGCTGCCTTCAAAAAAGGCCCAGTTTCTCCAGGAATGTGGGGCAAATAACATGCTCTTCCATTCTCAATGCAAATTCCAGGCAGATTGTTACAGAAAGCAGTGATCCTATTTTGGTACTACGACTTCAGAGATGAACTTTTGAAATGTTGCACATACAACTGTGCTTTAATGCTGAGGAGCAATCTTGCCTTGGCGTCTAAAGTTGCAGAAATAGAGCCAACAGGGTGTAGCAGTTATGGTATTGGACTAAGTTGCAGTCTACTTCTGCCATCGAGAATCAGTAGGGACATGAGGCCAGTCACATACTCTCAGTCTACCTCACAGGGTTGGTGGGGGTGGAGAATGGAGGATGGAATGCTATGCACACTGCCTTGAGTACCTGGAGGAAAATTTAACAATTTGTTTAGTCGTTAAGTCGTAAATGTAATTTAACAATACATAAATACAATGGGAATAGCTTAGCTTTTTGATTTCCGGGGAAGAAACGGCAAACTGAAGACAGCTCTGCTAAAAGCAGAGCCAATGACTGCAGCAAAATGAAGAGCCAGCAAGTAGACTGATTCTTTAATACTTCCTCTCCAGACAAGGAGAGGACTTGAGATCGCTCACAAGTG